CAAACTGGATAGTAAACGTTTCATTCCCTCCATCATGAATCACTGCACCTATCGTGACTTGCTATCCTACCTTACATTGCCCACTGAGCGAAGTCGCTCTCCCCACGCTACATCATGGATGGCAATGAGAAAGCGGAAAGGAAAGTGGTGTCCTATCTAGTGGCTTCTTTCATGATGCAACGGGTCCCCATGGATGGCAAGTGCCTCTTTCTTGGTAGTGACTTGCACGCCTTTGATAAGTTCTCTTCATAAGCAACTGACTCCTCGAGAGTGTAATAACATTTCTTCAAATCTTGACACACTCAAGAACTCCTACCAAAAATCCATTACTTGATAACTTCATTACTAAACCCAACACTTATAATATCACCCACTACCAATAACATAACCACAATATGCGGCTCATCATCCGTGACGACGAGGCTGAGGCATGCAAGTATGTCGCCAATTACGTCGTGGAGCGCATCAATGCCTTCCAACCTACACCCGAACATCCCTTTATCCTAGGCCTACCTACAGGCTCTAGCCCTATCGGAGTCTATGATATGCTAGTGCGCAAGTACAAGGCTGGCGAAGTATGTTCTATCACCTCATATTAGAGCAGCATCTAACGATAGCAGGTCTCTTTTGAGAATGTAGTCACCTTCAACATGGACGAGTACGTCGGTCTTCCTCGAGATGACCCAAACTCCTACCACTCCTTCATGTGGAAACACTTCTTCTCTCATGTCAACATTCATCCTTCCAACGTTCACATACTCAATGGCAACGCTGCCAGCCCGGAAGCTGAATGCGATGCATACGAGGATGCTATCAAGGCAGCTGGTGGTATTGATCTCTTCTTGGCCGGCATCGGTGAAGACGGGCACATCGCTTTCAACGAGCCCGGATCTAGCCTTGCCAGTCGCACCCGAGTCAAGACATTAGCCTACGATACCATCCTCTCCAACTCGCGCTTCTTTGACAACGATGTGAGCCGAGTGCCGCGGATGGCTTTGACAGTGGGCGTCCAAACTGTCCTTGAAGCAAGAGAGGTGGTTGTAATTATCCTGGGAGCTCGCAAGGCGCTTGCATTGCAAAAATGTGTCGAACAAGGCGTCAACCACATGTGGTCGCTATCATGCCTCCAACTCCACCCTCATCCCATGATTGTCGTCGATGAGGACGCCACATTGGAGCTTCAGGTCAAGACAGTCAAGGTAAGCAAAGCTCCCTCCCAAAAATCAGACTGCGCTAACATGAGCGATAGTACTTCAAGAGCATCGAGAAAGTTGCTCGCGAGCAGGGATTCGAGCAGATTCTTCCCTCCAAAGTACGAACTGGCAATGTTGCTATCCCTGAAACCAAGATTCAGAGAGCTCAGAGCCCTGCGATTATCGCTCCGGAGCCAATTGCTTCCCACCTCTTGCGCGCGACACCTGCGGGTGACTACTCAATGAGAACCCCTTCGCCTGATTTGTTCCCCGACCGAATGGCATCGCGTATTCCGGAACCGAACCTGAACCGCAGACTTACACCCAACCTCGAAGTCCAGACCGACGTTCCTAAGACGAAGGTTGAGATGATCGATAGCGCCGTCGCCATGTCTCCGGACGCTCCTGTCGCGAACTTGCTTCAACCGATGACCGCAAACATTAAGACAATGCGATCTCCGTCCCCAGACCTAATTCCCGACCGTATGGCCTCGCGCATTCCTGAGCCAGATCTAAACCGCAGGTTGACACCCAACCCCGAACTCCAGAATAGAATGAATACTATTGGAGCGCACTAAACGTGATATGTGGAGATGTTGGGATATGAGGAGTAGAAAAGAAATTGAGACCAGGAAGGTCTTGTTCAGTCGCTACAGGGTTGGTTCAGGAACAAAATTATCAGACTGTATCAGTACGACTACAACAATAGCATCTTTAGCCCCATATTCGATTGAGGCGTTTTATTACGGTTAGACATAGAGCATAAATACCATTGGTGGTTTGGATAGGCTGTGTGTTTGGAGTTTATGGGTGTTGCGTGTATCGTCGTTTGACGTGGAGGCGTTTTGGAGATAAGAAGGCCGATTCTTGGAAATTGTTCGTTATTTAGGACGACCAAAAGATACCCAGGTGTTCAATACAATCCATTTCCCCCTGAAACTTGAACATCCAGCCTGTGTATAGATTCACTGTTGAGCAACATGAGCATGCGCCAACAACATATGCTGTGTTTTGTAATACGGAACTTTGCAATAACCAATTGTCGCAATAAAATTCTCGGGTATCGATGCAAACCATCTTATGCCCTCAATGATGAGTTACCGTCCACTAATGTGTATGTACTTGCTCACAATGTGCTATAATCCCAAACAGACTCCTCCTTACCAGAATGCCCGTACAAAAGCTTAGATATATATAATATACAGGAAATCGACTTTTCCAACAATTCGTAACTCATCAGTTTCAACCACCTGTTGCATTTCAGTCAGAGGCGAAGTACCGCTTGGCCTTGCTCTTGAGCTGTTGTGCTTTCATCTCGGGTGGCATGATAGTGTGATGGACCACGTGAGGCCGATAAACAGCATCGACAGGCGGCATCCTGGTGGAGGTTAGTAACGTGAAAGTGGAGAGATCCAATAGAGTGGTAACGTACCAATCATCCACAGTCAGTGGAAAGTATTCGTACAAGGGATCAGCCCCCTCATCTGCAGGACTGTTTTCCCTATTCGCCCCTGCGGTGGTGTATCCTTTGCCAGAATTGGGACTGTGCAGCTCGGCACTGGAGCGGTTCGGACTTCTCTCGTCTTCTGATAGCGATAGGTTGATCGGCAGAGAAGCATTCTGACGTGGGATTGAATTTTTGTTATTGTGGGAATTTGCTACTTTAGCGGAGTTGTTTGGATCGCTGGACCAAGCTGGTATCGGGGGTCTAGTCATTGTTGGCGATAAGGCGACTCGTTTTGCCGGATGTGGACTTGCAACGGGTTGAGGACTGGGTAGTGGATGGGTCATTGGCCCAGGTGTTGCCCAGTCGTTTGGCTGCTTATCTGTCAGTCCTGTCCTTTATGTACATGAGATTTGGTCTTACCTGGAGATTTCCAGCAGGAGGATATCTTTGGGTGAAGTTCGTCGAATTCTCCCGTTCAAGTTTAAGCGTTGGGTGATCCACATTTGACGTCGATGTGCTTCTCCTCTCAAATCTCTTGTCGCCTGTAAGAGGAACGTCCTTCCTGCTATCGAAGTTTCTAGGACTCCGGCCACGAACAATGACTGGGCCGGATTTGATCTCCGATATTTTTATGAGTTCACCTGCCTGTGTCTTGCCCAGCAGGGTAATCTGGACCACGTAGTGCTGTTGCAAGCCCTTTCTTCTGCCGTTGTTAGCAGTAGCATGCTTGAACTGAAGCCGCTTCCAAGATATGGGCAGAGAAACACGGTGTGCGTCGATCTCTTGACCTGTCGTTATATCCAGTGTGATAGTAGGCGGCGCTGAAACGCCTTTCGAGTCGTCGCCTCCCTGGGGATTGGCGTTCTTCCAGGGAATCGATATTATTTCTGTAGCCTTTCCTTCGATGGATTCGATGGCTGCAATAGTCGCTACTAACTCAAATATTTGGATGTGTTGCCCTTGTTCATTCACAATATTCCTGATTCCTCGAGGGAGAGTGATCTGCCCCGAACACTGCCAGAGGTTGCGCCGATAACACGTCAACTCCATCGGGCGTCCAGTTGATTCTCCTCCGAAGACATCCTCGGCAACGAAGAACATGCCATACAATTCAGCCGTCATACCGGCTTCCACAAATTGGTTGTTCTCGTTGACAATGGTAGCATTGGAAACGGGAGCGGAGAACCCGAGAAGCTTATTATCGGGCTCCTGGGGAGATGATTCCTCGTGCAAGGCATCCTGATTCGGCGGAGGATCGAATTGTTGTCGAGTCGAGTATGAGAAGGGATCTTCAAAGGTCGAGGAAAAGGCATCCAAGTCGTACGAGGTGCCAAAAGGCAGAGTCTGCAGTGCAGCCCCATCACTGTAGATGTTAACTCGACTGGCTCCCAAGCCAAAGTTGCGCGCGCGTTGCAAGTGCGCTGCAGTACCTACAGAAGTGATTCATCAAATGTCATATCCTGATCGAACACGTCCATATTCATACTCTGAGAGTGAGCAGATCCGAAGTTCATCGCCATCGCTTCGCTGGAAGAGGCGCCAGTTGGCAGCCCCGACATTGAGTTGTAGGTTGACATGGCATTGTTCAGTTGAGAAGAGCCGTCAACGTCTCATTGGCGCGGCGGCGGAGACAGCGACACAACGTGATCGCGCAAGTATGTGCAACGATGCAAAGGGATGAGAAACAGCTGGCGACACCGGTGATGGCGGGTTGTTTCCCCGGTAGAGCGCCGAGTGTTTGGAGCGACGAGCAAACAGAGCTGAAAGAGTAGATAAGACAGGTAAAAGATCGAGTAGAGTGAGGTAGAGATAGTCAGGTAGTATGAGGAGAGGCGGAGGCGGAGGCGGAGAGAGTGTGGAGGGTCTGGGCTGCCGACCTCCAGCTAACTCTACGGGCTCCGGCTACTGTAGGTTTGTGGAGAGACCCACTGGGCTGACCCTTTCCTATTCCCAGCGATGAGTTCTGAAAGTTGATTGGTATTCGCTTCAACAATTGGCCGAGACAGAGCTTCATGTGAAGACTCGAGACCCCGCGGGCATTTTTCTCTGCTAAAAGAGAGCGCTATAATAAGAGGAAGCTTTAAGAGCTGTTCTTAGCGTTGTTTGCCATTTCGGCATCTTCCAGGAGGTTTCCATCCTTTTATCAAAGTCCATTAAAACGAAGCACAACGTTTGCAACATATGAAGTAACCTTTTATTTATCAATACTTGCTTCATGCCTAATGCTTCCAGCCAATGCTCCCTAGGTCTTTGCCTTTCTAATAACAATGCTCTTTTAATTCTAGTTTCTGTTTCATGCACGCGTACCTATTCTTATCATGAGGACGGGAACCAACACCAACGCCAAGCCAACCAAACTTTCACATCAACTTGCTCTCCTTGGCGGAGTCAGACACCCTCTCACCAAACTTCCACACTTCGTCCAGCACGAGGACTTCATTCGTTCCCCTGACTTCGCCCTGGCTTTCGTATCCGTCTGACAAAATCACCAGATCTGCGTCAGCCCCCGATTCCAGTGAACCCTTGACTCCCTGTAAGCCAAGCATGGCTGCGGGTGTTGATGTGACCGCTCCAAGGGCCTGAGGAATACTAGCACCAGTCCACTGTCTGAAATTATTAACGCACTCGAGGAGAGTGATTGAGCTGATGAGAATTAGATACAAGTTCTTACAGAGCAGATCAGTACGTACCTTCCAGCAATCGTGTCAGAGTTCTCAAGGAGGAGTTTAGAACCTTGCTTGACAATGTTACATGTGTATTCTCCGTTTGTCCACGGATAGGCTCCATCCGGGAGACCAACAAGATGCATAGCATCCGTGACCAGGATAAAGCCATCAGGATGAGCGCTGTAGGCAATCTTGATAGTCGTAGGATGCAAATGAATGCCATCCGAGATGATGCCAAAGTAAGGCCGTGGTAGGCTCTCGGCTTTGCCCAAAACTCCAAAGACACCTGGGTTTCTGTGATGCAATGGGCGCATGGCATTGAAGAGGTGTGTAATCATTGTAGCACCCTTACTGACAGCTTGAGATGTCTCTTCGTATGTTGCCTCAGTGTGGCCAACGGAATAGATGATTCCTCTTGATGTGATCTCCGGGATCAGGTTCATCATCTGTCCACGTTCCGGCGCTGCTGTAATCATCTTGATCGGCATCGGTGAGCCATCGGAGCGAGGGGTTATATTCTCACGACCGTAACATTGTTCAATGTCCTCAATCGATTGAGCTTGTGTGAGGACATCGACATTGTGAACTCCATTCTTGGTGGGACTCAAGAACGGACCCTCGCAATGAGCACCCAGTGACTCGGCGCCGTGAGCCGGGATCCGCAGTTCCCCAGACGGGCCAAGATACGGGAGCGCCTGGCAGGCGTTAGCTTCATGTACGATTGCCCCACCCAAGGGAAAAGCTTACCTTTTGGTATAATTCAGGCCGTTGGCTGGTGATGGTTGGGATGTATGATGTGACCCCTGTCATGACCAGTAGGCGATTGATCTTTTGGATGCTTTTGCCATATTCGGACATATCATCCAGCAAGGTTGAGAAATTGAAGCCAAAGGCACCGTTGAGCTGGCACTCGATCAGACCTGGTGCAATGATGCGCCCACCAAGATCAAGGGTATTGTCAGGCATGTTGCGGCCGCCATAGAAGGATGCCTGGCTATCAATGATCTTGCCAGTAATTGAGCTGACCCAAAGGTCCTCCCAGACCAAGTCGTTGCCTTTCAGCAGTCGACAGTTGGTAAACTTGGTGAGGCCATTCTTAGGCAAGGTCGGCGATACGGCGATAGGCATACTGAAGAAGGGTTGGAGGAGTCTGTGATGAAGAATTAGATATCTCAAACTGAGTTGTTTTGATACTCTCTATCTTGAGTTGAAAGTCCCTAAGGACAATGAATCACATAAAATGGAAGGCGAGTCGGGGTATACTAGTATTTTCCAGAGATTCCATACTCGGACGTCTAAAGCCCTATCAAGCCGCCAACAACGGCCACGTTTTTTCCAGATAGCATGGAAAAAGTGATATCGTCATTACGATTCAGTAACCATGCATCTGGTTCCAAGCGGACGGTGCCATCGTTGAAGCCGTGATAGTGAGACTGTGTGGAGATTTTTGGTCTGAACATGGTATGGTTCCCTTTTGCCATGTTGCTGTGCATATTGACAGTCAGAGACCAGGGTGCAGTGGAATACAAAGACCATGCCATCCGTCCATTTTTGCCTCAGAAGTAATGTTCATCCTTACCTGGTTCAATCTCTCACGTCTCGACACAACGTGAAACGGGCCTCTTTGTCGCCCGACCACTTGTTGCTATTGTTCCATGTAACGTTAACTCATGGGGCGTAACCCATCAAATCGCCTGCAACAAGAAACGGCCAACAAACAGGACGACCCCACTTTCCTATCGCCCAACAGCTGGTTCTTTCTTCAACTGACCAATCAATATACACCAATCACATCAGCCGAGGTTTAGGCGCTCGGCAACATTCCACCTCCACTCCAATGGCCCCTCCTCCTCCTGGGTCAGCGTCTAGCTCATCCTCGCGAGAAGGCTACCGCAGTGTCAATGCATCTCATCGTTACCTCAAGCACGCGGGGCCTTCAAGGGGTGAGCCAGAACCACAGCAGAAGAGATCAAAGTACCATGTGACGAGGCATCGACGCCGCCCAACCATCATGGCCCATACAGACAATAGCGACCTGGATCCAGCATGGCAAAATCTCGACCGGTACGTACCCACTCATTCACCTCCCCTCAGTCCCGTCGAGTCGCGTCTCCGGACGGCGCGGAACTGTCAAGGGCCGTCTCTCCACTCTTCGGCTCCGAATCTCGGAGAATTTTACTTCATTCATTCACTTGACATCATGATGCTAACTGGTTGTTCTGTAGTGCCATTGGGCAGATCCTGATTATGGGCTGGGATGGCACTGAAGTTACCCCCCAGATCAGGAGCCTCATTGAGGATCATCACCTTGGTTCCATTATACTTACAGCCAAGAACCTAAAATGTGAGCTCTACTTCCAGGCACATGTCTTGCTTCATTACTCTAACGTTATCAAGCTGCTCAGCAGACAGCAGAGCTGGTCCAGGAATTACAGACCATTGCTAAGAATGCTGGTCATTTACAACCTCTTCTCATCGCCCTCGATCAAGAGAATGGAGGAGTTAACAGTCTTTTTGATGAAGACTATGTATGCCAATTTCCCAGTGCCATGGGCGTTGCAGCCACTGGTCGAGCCGACCTAGCATATGAAGTGACAAAGGCTACTGCTACTGAGATCTCAGCATGTGGTGTCAACCTCATGCTAGGACCCGTCCTTGATGTATTGAATAATGCTCGCTACCAGCCTTTGGGAGTGCGTGCTACCGGAGACGACCCCCAAGAAGTATCACAATATGGCTTGGCTGCTCTAAGAGGAATTCGAGATGCTGGAATCGCTTCCTGCGGAAAACATTTCCCATCTTACGGAAATCTGAACTTTCTAGGCTCTAACCTAGATGTGCCTATCATCACTCAGACACTAGAGGAGCTCAGCATCAGCGCTCTGGTTCCATTTCGAAATGCCGTTGCTTCGGGGAAATTAGATGCTATGTTCATTGGAGGCTGCGGCATATCCAATCCATCCATGAATGTGAGCCACGCTTGTCTTTCAGATCAAGTCGTGGATGAGCTCCTACGCGATGAACTTGGATTTAACGGCGTCGCAATCTCAGAGTGCTTGGAGATGGAGGCTCTTAGTCATGAACTTGGTGTCCAGAATGGTGTCATCATGGCTGTCGAAGCAGGCTGTGACCTTGTCCTCCTATGCCGTGCCTACGATGTCCAACTTGAAGCTATCAAAGGTCTGAAGCTCGGTTATGAGAACGGCATCGTGACTAAGGAGCGAATTTTCACATCTCTGAGAAGGGTACTTAACCTTAAATCGACCTGTACCTCGTGGGAGAAGGCGTTGAACCCTCCAGGCATTTCTTTGCTTTCTCAACTCCATCCATCTCATCTTGCTCTGTCACTCCAAGCCTACGATGATTCCATCACAATCATTCGAGATAAGGAGAAGCTTATCCCACTCACAGCCTCAATGCATCCTGGAGAGGAGCTCCTCTTATTGACCCCCCTAGTCAAGCCGCTGCCCGCATCTTCACTCACCAAGAAGTTGCTCGCAGCTAAAGACAGCCAGAGTCAAGCAGAAGGCCAACACGAGATGTGGGCGCATAATGGTCGCGATCGAAGCGCAATTTTGAGTGGAGAGGGTGTCTTCCGAGAATTTGGCAAATCTCTTGCTCGAGCTCGCAACGAAAAGTTGCTTCACACAAGCTATACGGCTAATGGAGTTCGTCCAGGTAATGCTCTTGCCCCTTGACAGATGAAATTTATTCTGACCAGATTTAGTTCACGAAAACCTGATCAACAGAGCCTCTTGTATCATTATTGTCACTGCTGATGCCAACCGAAATCTTTATCAAGCAGGTTTCACTAAACACGTTGATATGATGTGCTCTATGCTTCGAACTAGAGGTCAAAAGAAGCAACTGATTGTAGTGGCAGTCAGCTCTCCGTATGATTTTGCAATGGATAAGTCTATTGGCACATACCTCTGCACCTTCGACTTTACCGAGAACGCCCTCCACGCTCTTGCCAGGACACTTGTTGGAGAAATTGCACCTCTTGGTACGCTTCCCGGCACACTACGCAAGAGCAAGAAGGTTCTCAAGTCCAGACAACACTGGCTGGTAGAAGAATATAGTGCGAAACGTGACGCCTCTGCTTTGAACGACCTACTTCGAGCTGTTCACCGAGCAAGCGCACCAGACCTGCAGTTTCTACGCACAACAACTGCTGCTTCCTTTCAGCTCAACAATTCCAATATTGCTGAGTCACATTTTGTTGTTAGAAATAGCAGTACCAACGCTTTATACGGCTTTGCTGCTACTTACTTTGTTCACGGTGTTGGTATTCTGGGTGGTATCTTTGTCGAGCCCACCAAACGGGATGTATCGATCGGAAGGTCACTTCATCGACGGGCGCTCAGAAGTCTCATACAGCGACGAGGAATTAAGCAAGTCCAGATAGGATCAGCGTTTCCTGGAGTTTTCCTGGGTATTCCCAATGATGTTGAGGTCAACACAATCAAAGAGTGGTTTGCGAACAGTGGTTGGGATGTCCAGTTTCCACGACGCGTATCAAATATGATTTTACAGGATGTGGCAAGCTGGTCTGCCCCAGAAGGTTTGCCTCAGAGCATTCAGAGAGCTGGTATCAGCTTTGACCTTATTCATGATTTGGATAATGCGGATGGTGTTCTCAGCCACGTCCGTACTAACGCAAATCCCGAGGTTTTAGAGCTTTACCGTCATGCGCTGTCGGAATCAAAGTTGAGTGGGATTGTCCGAGCCAAGGACGCGACAGGTACCTTGTTGGGTACAATCATTGTTTGCAAGCAGCGCAGTCCATTGGAAACGCATATTCCTTCATTGGTGTCACGATCTGAGGACATCAGTGGCATTATAGCTCCAGTTGTACCTCCTGGACCACAGGCAACGCTCGCTTTGCAGGGTCTGACGCTCATGGGTGTTCGCCAAGCCAGGAGTCACAAAGCTACAAAAGTGGTCCTTGGCTGGGTAAGTCAACCATCCCCCAGCCTTTTAATGTCGCTAATGAACCAGGTTGTGGATGATGGCACTGAGTCTCTCACAACGATGGGCTTTGAGACACTCCAAGAGTTCGAGGAAATCACAAACTCCCCAGAGAACGTAGGTATTCCTCATTTCTAAAGCTGCAACAGGTACTGACAATAAAAGTTCTCAAATATAATATAAATAAGGGATTCCTGTAGTTGGATTATCCCGAATCTACCGAGAAAATAACTACGTATGATCAGCGAATGGAGTATATACTGCCTTGAATAATATGCATTACAAAGTTTGCTACATCTTGGTTTAGGCCTCATTATTCTACTTCCCGATGTTATTCTCCCATGTTATCTTCTAGTCCTTGCATCGAGTCTTTGAAGGAAGACCTCTTGGTCTTGGCAGAAAACTCGCCAGTATCATAGTATAGCACTCCGTCCCGGTCGAAAAGCTGCACCTGAAGTTAGCCCTGCGCCAAAGAGAGAAAATCTATACTTTGAACATGTGGTTGTCAGCGTAGCACAACTGTGTTAAGGACAAAGCCATTATCATAAGGCTCCTGGCTAGTTTCTCTCATCCTCTTGTCTTACCCCTTTCCCTAACCATTCTTCCTGATATCACAGAAATGAACAACAGAGGCTCAAAGAAAATCCATTCTTGTATTATATTATTAAAAATAGCCCGAGATCAGTTGAACTGGCAGGCCTCCGCCTATGGTTCAGTCTGATACAGAACGCAAAGTAGACACTTCTTGGGCGAATCGCCCTATCAAAGATTATATAGCCACCAGTGAGAGACTGAAACAGTCTGGCATTCGACCCCGACATGGATAGCCTCTTGGTAAAAAAATGATGGTTAATTCTCTATCGGTGGGATCAGATGGGGGATGGGGACCTCGGTGAGTAGAAAGACTCAGGGCTTTAGTCAGGGGGCTAAGAATAACGAATTGAAAGGAGTCTCAAGTTTGTCTTAAAGTCTATACTAGAGTTGCTTAAATTTATCCTAGATTACCTAAATCTTTTATGACTTAGGACCAAGGTCTCAGATTATCTTACCCCTGGGGGGATGCCTTTGAGGTAGAAGATATTCGGTTATCTGCTCAAAATTCATGTCCCAGAAGTATTCAAAGAGTGAATCTTGAAATATCACCGTAGTTGGTCACCCACACAAGCTAAGGGAAGAGAAAAATAAGCAAACCGTTTTTCCAGTGTTTGATCTCAAACCTAAACATCTCCAATGAGCACATATGTCCAACATTCACTATTCCCAGTAGTTCTTCAACTGCAAACATTTTCGTATATTATTGGAAGTCTCCGCCTCCCTAGAATTTCTCAAGGCCATAGCCAAGCCAAGGGGCGGCAAATATCACTACCTTCGCACCAAATTTTATCTCCTATACTTCAATACCGTTGGCCATAACAATGATACCTGCAACTATACCGTGTGCAATTTCGAGGCTAGCTCGGTAGAACCTCAGCACACATGACTGACGGTACTGCTCATAAACCAGCTGCATCTTGTCCCCAATTTTGAAAATGCCCAGTGGCTACCATTCCCCTGGAATACTAGACACCATCAATCTCATAATGTCCGATCTTGAGGTGGTCTATCAGCTCAACCATTAACCCAGTGTAGTTTGTACTTTTCGTGCCGTATGGATACAACGCTCGCTGCTCGACAATGCAAGTCTTCTGGGTTCCATGCTTGCAGGCGCTGGTATACGCTCAATGCATTCTTTCTCCACCTCTAAGCCCTCTTTTTGGTAAATAGGCGTCAAAGGGGATGTTAGCCTAGCTTTGACTTGGTCACAATCTACAATAAGAGCGCCCCGAATTTCCGTGTACTCAAATGTCATGGCCTGATGCCCTAGCGACCATTAGGCAGAAGAGATTGCCAAGCTCTCCGGAAAAGTTACTATTGTTCTCGAGTGTCAGCAGTTTCCTGTGAATATGGTAGTAAATCAAACGATTAGATCAAGCTTGTCTACCTAGTACTTGTCGGACGCCATTCGCCAAGTCAAGGTTTACCATCTTTTGATATGCTAGGGTCTTCTTGTAAGTTCCCATTTCCCTTCTATGACTTGGCCTCCGACTAGTACTGGATTTTGCACCTCCGAAATCTCGAACGCTTCACGATGCTCTGGTTGTACAGCGCCTGGACATGATCCCTCTTGTCCAGGCATTGGAGTTTAACCAATATCAGGGCATTAGCATACTTGGCAAATTTCTCGGTGCCATCGTGCTGAATGGAGTCTCTGAGTGCTCATCTGGGGACGTCCACCGATATAGTATACCGTCAGAATACTCCAGTCGAACCGGCGATAAACATTCTTCGTCATCCTAGGCGGCAACGTCGCTGGGGTCTTCATATCGTGCAATTTCCCTTGAATGAGCCCAGTGAGGCTCGGCTCAGTATCCTCAAATTCGTCCTTGAGATCATCCGTATCTTCGGAGCTCTCGTCTGTAGGTTTACTCTCAATCCGAGTAAAGGTCCCTTTCATTTCTAGACTTCGTAAGTTCGATCCCAGTCACAGTCTCCTCCCTATGACGAAGCATGAGCCTATGCCAGCTTTGGTCAGAGCTCTTGAAGACTCATAGTATTATATCATTTGTAGATACCCAATCTTGCGATCGTTTGAAACTTCTCGGTTAAACAAACAATCCTGACTGCTCCCCACGCCACTCATCAGCAAATGTCATCACGCAGGACAGCACGGAGGTGAGCCATAATGTACTTTGAATGAGATAAGGAAAAATATCTTTGTTTGTCAAAACACTTCAACACAGTTCCGCATATGCTGAGTCAATAAGAAAGTCCGTTAAAAATAATATGTCCTTCGCCATGTATTGTTTGATTGTCCTTTTACCCGTTGCCAAGTTAAAACTCCGTGAATAATAAGCCCCGGGATTTCCCACCAATCTAATAACCGTTTTCGTACAGATAGTCATCTCGGAAGAGCAACAAGCAGAATAGATAGTGGTGAGGTGATGGAAGTGAAGTGGCGGAAAAGTGTATGGGTGTGTATGTCGCTTGTAAAAACAAAAAATTAAAGGGAAAAATTGCTTCTGGTCGTCTAACATCCGTCGTCTTCACATTCATCAAGGCTTCCGTAGCCAGTATCCGAATCAATTCCCACCATGCTCTTGTTGATGGCCAGGCACCGGTTGACGACCTTCTCTCGTACATCAGAAGCAACGCCACACTTCTCCCCGGGAGCACCGCCCATCCATAGACGAAGACCACCAGATAGTCGCTCAAGAGAGGCCTGGAAAGTCTCAGCGGCTGCTTTGTGCTCGTAGAGCTCCTCCATCAGCTCCAGAGTTGCGGTGCATCCGAGAAGAGACATCTGTGGAGCGTTGCCACGGGTCATGATTGATTCAATCATGCGGAGTCCTTGGTGAGTACTTCCAGGAGTGCATTCGACACGTCGGAGGTGAGCGATGGCCATGGCGCATCGTAGGGCAAGTCGGAGATCGGGAGTAGAGGCCTGGAAGCTTGAGTCAACGACACAGATGGAAGAGCTCAAGAGAGCATCGACCTTTTCGTTGCCCATTGATTGCAAGGCAGAGGCGATGTTAGCGCCGCGTGCCTTATCAACGAGAACTGCTCGTGCCACGATAGCCCGGGCCTGTGCGGTTGACCCCAAGGGTGCAGCCTTGATGGTGAGTTCGATATCTTCAACCTTAGTGCTTAGAATTTCTTCGTCCTTTTCCATTGTGGCGACCAAAGTTCGATGTAGGGATTGGGTTGACCACCAGGCAGCAACAGCATCAAGAGGAGATCCAATAGCGGTATCGTCAACAACAGAATCCATGCCATCCATAGGGGTCACAACGTTGTAATCAGTATCGGTATTGAAGGCCAGGTTGTGTGCTCGCTGAATAACATCGTCGTTGAGCACTTCATCGCAGTCTTGTTCAACCAACAAAGCGAGATGTTCGGGCAAGTCGTCGTCATGCTGCTCGGATGACTCGCGGTGAAGTTGAGTAAGAAGGCGGTTTAGCTGACGGGCCTCGTTCCACTTGCTACGAGCAAGTTTGGCAGCGATGGCGTTGATTGCTCCAAGTTGAAGTCGGTTCTGGCTCAGGTCCCAGAGAAGAACGCGGATATGAAGGGCCTTGAGCATGAGCCTGGCAGGAGTGTCGGGGAGAGTGCCGGAAGCGAGAAGTGTCAGAATAAGGCGGCTCTTGTTGATTTCAACGTCGCCGCCAGCCAATTGCGAGTCGAGGGCAATGCTCCAGGCCTGGACACGAGCGGTTTCCTGCTCCTCAGTCAAACCAGTGATTGCTTGATAACCATGAACTCCAATTGCATTTCGGAGGCTGAGCTTGAGAGTCTTCAAGATGAGAGCTGCCGCCTCGAGGAAGAAATTGTGGCGAGGGACCCATACGGTCTGAATAGCAGTAAGCCAAGCTTGTCGGCGGACATGAATTGGTGAAGCGAGTGATGGCGCTGCCTGAAGGACCCCGACTTGTGGTTTCTTAGACTTTTGCGGGGCTTGTGTGAATAGTGAAGGAACGAACACCCAAAGGAATGTTCCAAGTAGGAGAATAATTCGGAGTGAAGTATGAAGATGGTAGCCTCCGACGGTCAAGTCAAGGCCACTCGCTGCACTCTTCAGAAGCTGAATAGGCATGGCGAACAAGCCACGACCTTCAGGCTTCTCATTACTGACTTCATCTTCACGCATGGCCTCCAAAATCATGAGACCGGCGAGTGAGCCGACCATCAATTTACCAAAGTAAGGACCGGCATTGTTCCACCGATTTTGCTGCATTTGCTGTTGCTGTTGAATCTGCTGCTGTCGAATGAGCGCGGGGTTTCCACCACGGAACTGTTGTTGTGGTACAGGATATGTTTGACCAGAAGCCATTTGTTGTGAGATGATTCTCTTCATATCATCGGGTACTTGAATCATGCCTCCTGGTTGCGCGCTGCCGTCCTGCGACGGGCCCATCGGTGAGCCGACAAATTGCTGCGCATCCTGTGCATATTGGATTGGCGTAGGTGGTTGCTGAAGAGGGCTGATGGCGCCATTCATCGCCCCAGCCATGAAAAGCTTTTCGAAGGCGGCAATTCGGGCTTGCATAGCACCATTTTCGTCGAGTAGCCGATTGTTACGCTTCTCAAGATGTCGGATATATTCAGTCGCCTTGCTCAAGACCTATCGAGTGATTAGCGTGAGTAATATTGCTGAAAGCGCACAGCGTACAGTAGCCTTGTTCAGCTTGTGAGCTGGAGTCAGACCATGAAGTTCCTCGCGATCTTCAGTCGTATCTTCACCTCGCGCGCTCTTGGACATGATGCGAAGACTGGGAACGCTATCTCTTAAAGCGGCGATCTTGTCATTCAAATTGGTTCGATATCGCTTCTCAATCATATTATGGGCGGTCTTCTTCACCGGTTGGTCGCCATCCTCTTCTTCCTCCTCCTCATCCTCAGGGTCGGCGGAAGACTTGCGCTTTCGCGATGCTTTCGAAGATCCATCGGCGGGATCCGGTGACGAAAAAACACCTCTTCTGAGTTCACCATTTGCCGAGTCCGGACTGGAGGCGCTCTTCGGGGAGTGATATTGGAGATGTGGCGGCATGGCGATGTTGCGCAGCTTCTCCTGCAGAGCAGGAGTCAGATGGCTGATAAGGGCTGGTTGAAGTACGGTGTTGTCGTTGAAACTGGCCTGTCGCAGGGAAGGATTTGAAGCGGCGTAGATTGATTCGGGGCTGAGAGTGGTTGCCGGAAGGCCGTCGATACTGGTAGAGATGGGAAGCTGTTGAAGGTTCTGCTGATCCTGACCGAAAGCGAGATTCCAAGGAGAAGGTTGATAGCTAGTCTGAGCAGGAGGTGCGGTGCTGCTAGAGGGGTCGTACGAGTCGTAAGGGGGCGTGCCGGTGAACTGCCATGCAGCGTCGTAGTATTGTTGCTGGGTCTGGGGACGGGAGGAATCGTTGGGCAGGGAGGTTGAGGAGGGGTCAGATTTCACGACCGAGCCATCATCAACGAAACCACCTAGATTCGGATCTTGAAGGCCATAAAGGCTGTTGGCAGAATCATGGTCGGCCATGTCGGAGAAGCGGGAGCCGGGCATGATGGGGATAGGCCAGCACCATGCAATGCAGTTGCGATGGCCTGATTGAGAGACCCAGTGATTGGGGTGACCCCGAAGGAGTCGCCGTGGTCGAGCGAGGCCTTTCGGGAAGACGAGGGCCTTTGGCCGACGATACTAAGAACAAGGGTCGATGTTGTCTGTCCAGTTGGGTTGAATTGGCCTCTATTCCCAGTGTGGCCTGTTCAATTGACTCTCTCGGCCGAAGAGTGGACTTGACCGCGATAGCCTCAGCTACGACTATGGCTCCAGGTACAGCGGCAGCGGCAGCTACAGCTACAGGCTGTGCTGAGGGTCAGCCTGCAATACTTGACAGGCCTATAGCCTCTGCTAAGGCGATCAATCGGTGGATAAGATGGAAATTCGGTGGTGAGGGCGTGCTGCAACCACAGAATGAATCGATGGTTGTCTCAATGACTCTCTGATCGAATGATTGAACGGGTGTTGCCGAACGGTTGACGGGTGAGAAAGGACAGTACAGGGGTTCTACAGCAAGGGAAGAGCAGCGCAGTCTCGCGATTATGGTTCGACTGGCAACGGATAGCAGGTAAACTTGCTGATGGAAGAATAGGCGATTTGGGCGATGATTCGGAGACGAGCGATGGATGCAAGGAATTCAGTTTGAGAAGAGGGCAGAAAATCGTACGATGGAACCCGGATATCAGCCCAGTGACGCCTAGTCAAGTCCGCGCTTGGCCAAGCTCGTCTTTTGTAGAAAGACTGGAGTGATGAGTTCAGGGGATCCACTTGTATTCGAGTGTTTACTCTAAATACAGTGCAGAACGTCCATGATCTCTGGTGGCGTACTCACTAAGCCCAGCGACTGGCACGGGATAAGTCTCCAGGCGAGGGGCGTTACGGCCTGGACCGTACAGTATTGGCGATCTGAGGAATACGGTCCACTTTAGTTAGAGGTTTACCCCTCTCGCATTCGGATTTGAGGCGCATTCTGCACTGTGCACACAGTCACAAATCTAGTAACCCGTCAAGCACAAGCCAACTTTGTTTGATCAAATTGGAATGGGAGACCTCACAAGGACCAGGGATTCAATTTTATTAAAAAAAAACTCGACTCAAGGCGCAGAGAATATCCTCATAATCGGGTCGTCATTGATGAGGTCTCAGTTGCTTT